GCAGTTGGGAGTCTTGTCGGAGCTCCTTCGCATGTGTACCCCCGTGGACAGCGCAGGTACTTTGTGGTGTTGCCGGTCCGAGCCATTGCTGGGGGCTCAGGTATACCGTTCAGCGCAGTTTCTGTTTCTGGCTGAGCACAGCTGCCTGACACTGCGCATTCAGGTTGGGAGTTGGTTGGTAGTGGCGATTCCTTTGCTCTACCTCGGCTTCACTTTGTTCATGATTGAGAAGGATGGCAGCATGGTGCCTGGGCTCTTAAAGCCGCAGACCATATGCATTTGCACTGCAAAGGGCCAGAGACCCAGCTTCGAAGGCACGCACGTTGAGTCTGATGCTCCGCTTGATCATCTGCTGCACCGTGGGCCTCTTGGCCGGTCTTTGCTTGTCTTGGCTATGTTGTGCTTTGACTCGAGGGTCCTGGTGTGCTGAAGACCTGTGGTAGTCATGGGCACGTTGCAATGCACGTATTTTGGTCAGGCTTGTCAAGGCTTGTCAACAATAGCGGGTAGAGATCGTGGCTAACATCTTCTGTCCACGTCCCTCGAGATTTGTGGTGCAGGGTTTGTCAAGACTGCAACCACCGTGGGCTGTATTCAGAGGGAGATTCGAGATGCTTCGCTGGGAGGCCTCATTGGCCGCTGCTACATTGAGATGGGAGAAAGGCCATATTGTGGTGATAGATGAGTGGAAGCTTGTGCTTGACATTCACGTTGGAAGCAAGTGGCGCTTTTGGGGCGTACTACCGCTGCTTCCCGTGTCCAGCGTACATAGTCCTGATAACACTCGTCTTTGTCCCGACCCCCCACTGTCAGCCGCCTCCTTTTCAGGGACGGGAGGGGGTGTGGCTGCATGCTTAGGCTTGTGTAGATTGCTGGGAAAAACTCTTGATTAGATTGTGCAGTCTTGAAAAAGGTGAACAGATTGAACGGGCTCCCTGCTCATATGCAGGTTAGCCTTCTATCGTGTCCAGAAAGTGGAGGAGGCGAGAACCAGACTTGATGTGTATGCCACAAGAGCGTTCATACGGCCCTCTGCTTCCCCACAGCTCGCAGCTCATGACCTGTCATGTCTTCCGGAGGACCTGACCCAAGAGAAAATTCTTCGATTTGCTGCCGAACATGAGAGTGAGAACTTTGAATGCACTTATTAAGGAGGCGGCAAGAACTGTAAGATTTGCAGTGCGGGCACGATCCATAGCTATGGCCCGGCTGCAAAGTGTTTTGCACATCTGAAACTTCAGTCAGAGGCATGGACCCTTTGCTGCCAAGACGAATGAGCATCAGATGCTTGCTGGCAGGCACAAGTTAACTGGGTCATACTTTTGAACTGAATGCATATCCTATGGTTAACGCCCCTCACCTCTCCACCTCTCCGCGATAGTTTTCTTTGCTAGGCCAGCAGGTGCAGCTTCTGCAGCTAGTGGTGGTGTGATCAGTGCCGACAGTGCCAGCGCTGGAGCTTCGATGGTAAGCGCTGCAGCTTCGGTGGTAAGCCGCCCTCTCAGCAGCGGCTTGGCTAAACGAGAGGAGGCGAGGCAGAAAGAGCCAGAAATAGAAGATGGTTCAAGACGTTCAAGCATGTTCAAGCCCTCAGAAGAAAGCTGTCGAGAAAAACTACACGACGTGCTTTCCGACTGATCCCCAGCTGCCCTCTGACGGGGGTTTGGGCCTCCGACACACTCCTTATGGATCACTGCATGCACGGACCATGAGTGGGTCGTACCTGCCACGAGGCCGTCACCGTAATTTCCCGTCCAGTGGCCACACTGGAAGTCAAGATCAGTTCGCAACGGAAGCGTGCTTCGGCAAGCGTCGCGGCAGCGAACCTCTCGTCTTGATTCCAAATCCTGGCTTCAGGACCCTTGCCACTGGCTTCAGGACCATTGCCACTTCAGCCGACCGAAGCCGGATCTGTAGGGTGGTGTGGAATTCGCTCGTTCTGTGCTGCCGCAGTGTCTCCCTGCCTGTCACGTGCCACCGGCACTAGCCGGTAGGGAAGTCCTTCAGTTCCCACTGCCCCAGGCCTGATAGGCTGGCCACAGTTGGTCACTCAAGGTAACCTCACTCACTGGGTCGATGCACTCTCCAGCATCGTCGCCGAAATCAACGGGCATCCAAAGCTCTTCCGATAGCAAGTGCATTGCCAATTTGGGCAAATTCGTTGTGTTTTTCAAAGGCTCCGAGTTCCCTTATTGCAGACGAAGCGGGCCGCAGACTTCCCACGGTTTGCCCGCACAGAACACATTATAGCCTGGTCAATGAACAACTTGAATTTTGTGGTTTGCGGTGCAAGGGGTGCTTTCCCCACCTCCTTCCTTCCCTGAGGGTTTGTGCCAGGCAGATCACATGGTTTGTCCCGCCCCACCCCACCCCACCGCATCCCATCCCACCCCACCACCCCACCCCAGCCCAGCCCAGCCCAGCCCAGCCATCCAAGGCATGTTTCACACATCTCGAGCGGCGTTATGCCGTGAGACCTTGTGCTAAAAGTATTGTCGGGGGCGGCTGGGGCGGCGGTGCCCGAAAACGGACTTTTGCGCTTTCTCCTTAGTCCAGCCGAGGCGCGTGAACAACTCCGTCCTCCATAAACAGGAGGGGAATCAGGGGGTCCCAGAGAGAACCTCTGACGCTACACGGCCGGGGCCGAGGCGAATTTGAGCCAGTCTTTGTTTCTTCTACCAACAACAACGACCACAACAACATCAACCACAACAGCGACAACAACGACAACAACGACTTTTGACAACAGGAATAGAGTCAATAGAGTCTAGAGAAGAAGCGTGAAGAACAACTTCGTTGTATGCCCGACACGACTTCAAGTGATAAGAGTCAGACTTGGCAGCGCTGGAGCCGAGAGTTCTTTGTTTTGTTAAGCCATCCGCATTTGGACTGCCATTGCCAGCGTGATTCACCAAGGCATTATCTTCACCCCCTCTGAAACCAGCACGGCAGCTGCATTAGTTGCATGGGAGGCAGCCTCGTTTTCCATTTCATGTCAGAGTATTTCATCGACACGTGGCGCGTGGGCTGTCGTGAGGAAGGCAGCAGCGGTTTCTGAAGTCTTGAGATCCATGAGTCCATGAGTAGTATGGCCGCAGGGATACACCAGGTACCGTAGGTTAGGAACCACTGACTGACAAGCATAGACCATAGCATGACTTTACAAGGCACAGGGCATTTGCATGTCACAGCTGCGTTTTGTCGGCTTTCTGTTTTCGATTGCTTAGGAGACGTGCCGGTGGAGTTGCAGCTGTCCGCCATGAAGGCTGCCAGAAACTCTTGTGACTTGTGGATCGCCACCTGTAAAGGAGACATTCTGACCAAAACGCTCTTCCCCTTCGCCTTCCCTGAATTGTTGGGCTCTACATGTCGATATTCAAGCATCCGATCTCCTGCCGACCCAAGACACTGACCTAACAAAATCCTTGAGTCATGAGGCCTAAGCCGATGCTTCTAATGCTCTTATGTTCTGAAAGAAGGCAGCCTGCAGCTCGACGATTTGCAGTTTTTCTCATGGGCTTGATCCGTCGAGTGTCCTCATCAGAGGCTGTCGCTGCTGAAGAGAAGTGGCTCATCACCTGGTCCGATGTGATGTTCCACTCCAACCTTATCGGACCCTGGCGTTGCAACCTACTAACCTACTGAAGCTACACACAGTCTTTGCAAAGGCAAGCCCGTGCTCGGCCTGCGCCCATCTCAGGAAAAGGTGGCTACGCCATGGTTGTGGAGGGCAAGTATGCAGGTCTCCTCTCTGTGTGCTACTTGTGCAGCTCAGCAGCCTCAGCCCTTCGCTTCAAATGCCAGACCTTATAGGTGCGCGTGTGGCGGTGAAGATGCCTTCAAAGGAGCAGCTCAGCACGCGGGAGCCCTTGGAGCGGCCCTTGGCACCTCTGATTCAGAGAAGTCTGATCCCCTTAGGTCCAAAGAGGTTGCGGACTTCTTCGGGAAGGCAGGGCGACGCCTTGTGGGCGAAGCACACAACGGGAAGTGAGGAAATTGCCGACACGTACCGTAGAAAGCCGTGTTACTTTTATTTGCTTTTGTGGTGCTCGCTCACGAAACCCTTTGTCAGCCAACTTGAAGAGTATGCTACTTACTGTTCAAATCCGAGCTCTACGTTGGGAGAGTTAAATGCTTTGTTGATGTCAGAACAGCCTTTCCAGGAGTTGCGGGTGCTTCGTCACCTGCGTCATCCGTATCTTGGCATTTGCGTCGGGAGGTCCTTTGGATTCGCTTCCAGATAGCCGCTTGCATGCTGGCTGAGGTTCATAGTGAATTTCTACGGCGCCTGCATCGAAGAGAACAAGCAACTGGTGGTTCTCATCGAGGAACATTCGACTAGTTCTTCCGTGCTCGTTAGCTGGTGGAAGTACTTCCAATGCAGTGATCTGCTTCTGCAGGAGTTCATTGATGGCGCAAGCCTGCACGCAACTGTGCTGCACAATTCTAGTTTGGAGTAGAAACCACCGTACTTTCCCTACATCCTACATGGCTGGCTTGTGCCTGTAATCCTCAAACCCAACAGCACAGGACAGTGTCCTCTACGACAAGGGCGAACCGCCACCACCTCAGCAAGATGCAGTCGCATCCCCCCATCGCCAGTAAACAGCGGTTGAAGCTACCTGCGAGTTGCCCGCAAGGCTCACAGAGGATTCCAAGTGGCACATTCTCAGCTGCGTGACCCGGCTTTGGCAAAGGAGAGCGAGCAGAGTGGTGGAGGGTGAGGCTTCGAGATTAGGTGATGAGGGTTTCAGGGAGGTTTCGGCATAGTGAGAGCAGAAGCCTTTTGGGGCAATAGCGCCCGGGAACGCCTTCAGCGTCTTGGTTCTGCTTTTGTCGGCTTGCCTCTAGCAGGGTCAGACGGCTGCCCGAAAATCAGATTTCCAACGTCAACTGCCAAGTTGAAATTCGTGGAGTGCAGGAGCTGTCAGCCGTCCATGTGTAGGAGCGATGGGAAGTAAGGTCTGCCATGCCTTGGCCTACCTGCACGAGCAGGCACTGCGCGATGGAGTGGTTTTGCTTAGTCATCTGCTCGACTCGGCCAACTTGAGCAGGGCCCATCCATCCTGCACGGCGACTTGTCGGCCAAAAACATCATGCTGCGTGCCCGCAGGCTCGGTTACAGCTCAGTGGACACAGGATCTCTTAAAGACACTCAGCATGTGGCTTGGGGCTGTTTGGGGTCTGTTTGAGGGCTGTTTGAGGGCTGTTTGAGGGCTGTTACGGGCTGTTGGAGGGTGTCGCACCAAGTGTCCGAAGAAAGGCATCTTTTCAGAGAAGGCAATAAGGCCACAATTTCTGGGCGGGTGACGCACGAAGAGCTCTTAAGTCTGCTATTCACATGCGATGTGACAATGACAGCTTGGAGCCGGTGCTGATCGACTTCGGGATGTCCGTGCTGAAGAAGTCCCGGTCGAAGATCCAAGGAGGCGTGTGGTGGAGCAGTTTAGGTTTGCTGCCCCCTTGTTGGTGTTGGGGTCCGTTTGGGGTCAGGATCCCCGCGGTGGATGGCGCCGGAGCTCCTCAGCGCTTTGGACGAGGGTGGGCTACGGCCAGGCTGGGGGGGAAACTTCATGCACATGGTATACTTGGTATACCAAGCTACCCTAGATCGCGACATTCAGGGATGCAGGGGCTGATAGGTTTGACATCCCTGTCGTTAAGAATGCTTCGGCCATGCAAAACAACCCGGTCCTCCGCTGTGTCCGTGCCTCGCAGCATTGCCACTGCTACTAGAGCCAGCTACCCTCATCCCCCTCAGTGGTATCAGCAGGTGAGATGCCAACCTCGCCAACTTTAGATTAAGAGGGTTGAGCAGAAACCGAGCAGATGTCACAGCCCTTCGCAAAGAGGTTCGGTGCTCAAGGATGCCCAAGCCCCGGCCCTGAGCCACCCTCAGACTGTAGCGTGGACATGTTCGCCTTCGGCCGCGTGTGCTTCTTCGTCTCCACGGGGCGGCTGCCACTGCAGGAATTTACAGTCGACGATCTGATGCCCGGCATTGTTGGATCTCTACTAGTGCCTTCCCGTACCTGTTCTGACAGTGGCAGCAAAGCTGTGTAGTCCAGGGCAGGTTTTGATCGCTTTCACTTTCCTGATGTGGAGATGTTGTGGACAACGCTGACTCCTCAGGATGGCTGCCACCAAAGCTGGTACCTTCCCTGCCATGCAATGGCCAAGCGACGAAGTGCCTCGGTTCTGGGGGTTTCAACTCCAGCGGATTGTTTCTCCTTGGCATTGCCAATGATGGGTAGTTCTTGGAAGGCCCCGTCTTTGACTGCCCAAGAGTGGGGCCACGGTAAGTTTTCGTCGCATCAGAAGCATTATGTCAAAGGCTATGATGAAGGGATGGCAGCTTGCCCAGCCCAGGAGAGCGAGTTGGCAGCTTTTTGCAAGGTGCGCCTCTCTTGTCAGAGATCCAGCAATTGCTGCGTTAAGAAGCCTCACAAAAGCCGGTCCAGCAGGCGGTAACGACCCTTGTCGCGGCTACAATACCTTACAGACGGTTGATATAGGGCACTTGGGAGGTATCCCTGATGTGCACTTGAGTTGCCGTGTGCTTGCCCATCCGATGCGTGTTCAGGCAGATCTCTGCCCAGACCTCAGCAAGCTTTCGGAGCCAGAGGTGCACTTTGCGTTACTTAGGAAGGCAAGCATGTTTTGGGATTGTCTTGGCAAGCCAGTGCAAGCTGAGCAAAGCATCAGCAGCAGCCCGTTCCCAGCCGGGCCGTGTAAGGTCCTCTTTGCGTTGCGACCGACCCCACCGACCGGTGCACTGCTGCAGAGGTTCGAGCGTGGCTGTATAGAGAGGTGTCATCCCCTCAAAGCACTTGTATCTCTATTCACTCCTCCTAACCTCTTCGAAGACAGCCTCAGTCCTACACAGCCTCTTGGCTTCCATGGCCTTCGCAAGATTCTAAGAGGCACGGAACCTCTTGCAGCTGCAACGGCCAAAGTCACAGCCTCTCGTCTTGAGATGTCCAGCCCATTGGCAGGCTTTTCCAACATGTAAGGGCTGAGGTTTATGTTTGAATCATGCCCTACTGAGGTTTACTCTGATTGCTTGTTGCATGGGTATGCTCCGGCAGACACTAGCCTTTCTTTGCCAGCAGGCGTCGAAGAAAAAAAAGTCGCAAAGACCTTCGTAAGTTAAAGGATCGTCTCGGAGCTTTTCGGGTCTCACGGAACTTCAGGAAGGCTTCAGCAAAACGGCACAAGGGCTTGCGGTTGAGGGAAGCTTAGTCCAGGGAGGTGTGTGAAGGAAGAGGGAATCCTGAAACTCTGGCCGAGGTTTGATGCCATCACTGCGGTTGAGAAGGCTTTGGAAGATCCCCGAGGCTGGAAGAAGCTTGAGAGACGTGCGCTTGGATATGGTTGAAATATTTCAGCCTCCCCTGGTGTCGAATGGACTGAGCAACAAGCCTGTGGAACCGATGCCCTTAGACTCCTAGACTGGCTCGTGAGCATTGCAGAGGGGTGCATGGCGTGAACCCCTGAGGTGTGCTGGCGAAGCAAGAAAAGAAAAAATGGCATTTGTAGTGCCAATTCTTCAGCAGAGCATTCGGCGCAGGCAGCAGGATGCAGTCTCACCACGTAGCAACGTAGTGCCAAACTTTGGCTTTTGCGACTCCCCCAAAAACCCCAAGGCCCAAGGTGGCTGCGACCGATCTTTCCAGCAATTGCCACCTACGCGTCGAGATATACTCTGCAGTTCAGTTGTTTCATGTTGCTTCGTTGTGAGTTAGGCTGATCCGCCGCAGTTCCTTGAGCCCCAAAGCCCTGGGGCTCTAAGCTCTGGCAAAGATTGCCACGTGGCACTTGGAGTGAATCCGAGCGTGAGAATTCCCCACTTTAGATGGTGTGCGGTATGCGCAGGGATTCATTTCAGGTGCTGGTACTGGCATGCTGCGCTCTTGCGCAAATGTGGCAGAAGTATCCTTAGCCAAAGGCTGGAGATGCCGTGTGGGGAAACCCCAGACCCCGGTGAAAAAGTCACGTGACATCGCCATTTCTTTCCTGCTGACTGGTAGTTGAGAGACATTTCAACTCTTTACTCCCCATGCCCGTTCGTTTGTGTCTTTTTCCGGAAGCTTCTGCCTGGCCTTGTGGCAGAGGACATACCACTTGCAAATCGAGAAGGCAGCCTTCACGGACGCGGCCGCCTTACAGCTTCCACGGTCTAGCGCTACTTATACGATTCGCTTCATGGAGGGCATTTTACGCCAACTTTGGGGCAGTGTCCTGGCCTCCAGGCCATCACCGTTGGGGAACTCCGGAAGAACTCGCTGGCAGAGTGCCTCGCCCAATTGGACGCCTTGCTTTCAAGTTGAACCAGTTGTCCCATTGTCTCCATTGGCACAGCTTGGATGGGTAGGGTCCTGTGCGAACATATTCCGTCGCATTTCTATCGTAGTTGAGGTCTGGTTTCCACTTCTCAGTGCATCCTGACACAGATGGTCCAGCGAGGGACCCAGACCTTGCACTCAGAGCGCAGACACCAAGCTCGCAACGATCAGCCTCATGTAGCCCCCTCTGACTGCAGATGCTGCCGCAACAGGTGCTTGCAGCATCCCATCCTGCAAACAACTCCGGGCACATCGTGTGGGCCCAAGCCATGAGGCATCATGAGGCTGCCAAGGCCTATTTGTGCCGGGCCTTCAAGACTAAGACTATCGAAACCAGACGGCTGTGCGAGCAGTGTCTGTAGAAAATTTGCATGATTCTGGGCCGATACGTGTCTGCTGCTTTACCTGCAAGACCTTGCAGCGTTCTTGACCATCTGCTGTATTCTCGCCCTCCCCGTATCTTATTTGTGTGTCGTGGAGGATCCAAATCTGGATTCCGTACTGCTGACATTCAACGAGCCCGTGAAGGACGTCTTCTGAGCCCAATCGCCCTATTCTCATGTCCATGCCATCATAAGGGAGCGAGCAGACAAGCTTCTACTAGATCCTTGGGGTCAACATCTGTTCGTTCCGACTAAATGATTGACGCACCGAATCCAGGGCGTTTGTCTAAGCAGGTTTGCAGACTGGTTGTGATCGCAACTCGGAATAGATCGAAGTGAGTGTTCCGAAAGCCAATGGCCATCAATGACATACATGACCCTCTACTCACGTGTGCAGCAAGGCACATACAGGCTCCGGGGTGCGGCAGTGTGGCGGCCGTGGACGGTAATGTTGGTTTGTTGAACTTTGGTATCTTGTTTTCTGCGAACGTGCTCGGGCCCGAACGATGGTTGCATCTATGCTGCTAGTGCACCACTTCGCAGAGCATCCATGCCCGAACGACGCGACTGCGCGCGTTGCACCATCGCGACCTAATCTTTTTTTTTGTTGTTTCTCTCTCGTTCTTTTTGTCACGAAGGCTGGCGGAGCTAGGTTTGAGTCTAGTCTTGCCCTGGAATGTGGAGCAGGACGAGGCCTGAAAAACTGTGAGCTAATGATGCTTATGTCGTCTGATGAGGGGGGCATCATTGATCCTTTCGCAGGAACATTCTGCTTTGCTTTGTTGTGCAGGGCGGGGAGTCAATATTGCTTGCTTCAAGAGGATGTAATTCTAACGCTATGTGACTGCAACGGTGGGGCAAGGTCCGCTCGACAGGCGCCATGCTGGTTTTGTTTGTAACTTCGAGGGAAGAAGGTTCGGCAGGGGACGCAGAAGGACTAAAGGTTAGAATGTGGCCAGGAGATGGCGGAAGGCAGAGACTCTTCCCACCCCACAAAAAAACAAGGAACGAGAGTATTGCTAGTGCACTTCTTCAGGAAGTTGTTGTGTGAGCTAAGGTTGTGTTTGTGGTCGTGGTGGTGGTCGTGGTTGCGGTTGTGGTTCATGTACATGTTCATGTTCCCTTCATTTCATTTTTTCCGACGCTTTGCTCTTAGTCATTCTCTCACTCTCACTCTTTCTCTTGCTCTCCGCAGAAGCGGGGCTGTCTCGCCGGAGTTCGTTGCGGCAGGACGTGGACAGCGACTTTGGCGTCCGCAGTGCCGTGGTCCCGCGGCCCGGAGCACGACCACGCTTAGAGATGACGCCAGGCCTTCCCAATGGGTATTTCCAAGAATAGGCGTACCCTTTCTAGACCCCAAATTCAATAGAATCACTTAAAGGGACCCCCCAAAAAGAGTACCCCTGTTCTCGGAAAGCTCCAAACCTTCATAAGCCAGGCGATGGGGATTCCAGAGTGAGTGCTCAATCAGAGAATCCAACTTCGTGCGGCAGGCATCATCGATGTCAACCCAGAGGCAGGTTTGCTCTCGTCAAGCTTTGCAGTGTTATGCAGGACTTCGGTCCAGGAAGCTACCAATTGCTTAAGGGCTGCTTGAGCACCCATCCGAGGTTGGATTTGCGCCATTGATCTTCGACTTCGATGTCGAGGTTGGCCCAGCAACACGACTCAACGCGACGGTAGTTTAGGTCCGAGATGCGTTCCCGTAGGCGGGCAGTGGTTTCTTCCACATCTACATCTCGAAGGAGACTTCGGAGACTTCTGGCCAGGGCTTTAGCTTAGATTAGCTGCTCTCCAAGCCTTTTATTGCCGGCTTGGCAGCTTGCTACTGCGATGGCTCCGCACCTTCAAGCATGTCGTGTGGCACATGCGATCCATCGGGGCCCACTGCCACGCTGATGTGCCCGAGGCGGAAACATGACGGGCGAGCCGGAGTTGATCAAAGAGGTGGCTAGACAAATGGCGAGTACTGTCTGAGTCACTGTCTGGGTCTACACGGCTAAGTTTGCACGGCTTTGTCTTCCTCACATTTACTCATTCGCAGCTTCATATTTTTGGGTCAGGGTACCCTGGGTTTCTTAAAGTTGAGGCCCAGTTCATTTAGAGCAGATGGCTATGATAACCTTCAGAAGAAGGCCTTTGTCAATCCCACTCAGATGCAGCTCGACGCCAAAACCCACCGAGCCAACTTGAAGTTTTTTTGAGCCGTGTGCCCCGCCCCTCCCCCCTCCCACCCCCCCCCCCTCCCTCCCCCCCCCCCCCCCCCCCCCCCCTCCCCGCCCCCCCCCCCCCCTCCCCCCCGGACCCCCCCCCCCCCCCCCCCCCCCCCCCCCCCGCGGTTGCTACATCTGTTTGGTCTTGCCTCCCCCCATTCTTGGACCTGAGACATGAATGGAGCTTCGTGGCGCAGGTTCCAGTCGAGGTGCCAAACTCAGCGCACAGAATCTTGGAACAGCCCCGGACAGCCCAGCCACACACAAGCCAATGGCGCGAGCCAAGGAAGTTTACTTGCGGCGTCTCGGTGGTCACTCACTAGCCGCAAAGCAGCTGCTTTGGCAAATCAGCGAAAGCACGGCTGCTTCTTTTCGTTCTACCAGCATGGCAGCATGACCCAAACCTCAGACAACAGGCTGGATACAGCCCCCACGGCGCGTGCCATAGCGAAGGACATGAGAAGCTGCTGCAAGGTGCGGAACATGGTGATGCTGAATCCCTTCCCTTTGCCTCTGGCAGAGGGGTGACACCTTCTTCGCTCCTTGCAGCAAGTAGCTGCCAAGAGGCCCATACTTCTTTCGAAGGCTTGAATCCTCGCCCTCCACGTTCCCCGGAATCCACTAAGGTTGCTGCAAACCAAACTGCCGTGGTTGGGTCGAATGGTGAATTAATTGCAGGCAGCTCAGGACGGAGGAGTGCGGGCCTGGCACGGGTATCATTTTACTTGACGCAAACGTTGCGAATTGCGCGCCATGAAGCCAGCGGACGTCGCTGCAGAGTTGCAGCATGACATTTTTTCTGGAGGAAGAGGGCGAAGAGGGGGGAGAGAGCAAGAGGGACAGAGACAGACAAGGCCGATGGGTTCACCACCATCAACGAGGCACCCTTTCGGATCATGAGTGAGTGGCGCCAGCGCGTAGCGGCCAATGAAGTGAGCTGTGAATACAAAACGGAGGCGTAAGATGCATCGGCCCATCCGCAGACGTATGCTGGCTCCAGCATCGAGCATTGAGCATTGAGCAAGATAGGGGTAATTATGGGCGACTTCTTGGAGAGCTACGGATCGGTGCTGGTGACCATCGCTGTGCTTCTCGCAGTGGAAGCAGCAAGCCGCAGTGGGAATGTCCACGCCTCAGAACCTCGGTGTTGGGTTGATACCGTCCTCATGTCCCCTGTTGCAATGCACTCGCAGCTGTGTGATTCTGTGCAGAGTGAGGTCCAGTTGTCTGCCGTGCTGCCTCCCTTCCTACTGGAGTGCGCTGGTGCTCCCTTGCATCCGAGTTCAGTCCAAAAGTACAGAAGTGACTTCTCAGAAGTGGTGACTAGGGAGTGTGACCTGTCGTCCGAGGCGCTGTTCCTTGTGGCCTGCAAACCTGACACCTCACAGGAGCCGACTGCTGGTGGGGAAGGGGTTGGAGGGTATATACCATGTAAGGCCCATGAATCTGCCGACTCGGGTTGGGCGTCATGTCATCAGAGATGTGGTTTGGGCTGTGATGCACTCCCCGTGAGAGGCCACGCTGGCTGAGTTTTCTGAGTCTGTGGTGAGAGGAGCCGCCGGTGCCGGGCCTGACTTGCAACAGGGATTAAGATGTGTTGTTGGAGGAGGTTCGGGCTTCAATCCTGTAACCTCATGAAGTGGTGCGGTCGTAAACGGTGTTGCAAGGTGCTTCCCATGCCCTCTATTCGAAGGTCAATGATGTTGGCACTTTGCCAGCTCTACACGTAGTTGGATGTAGTTGGTCATAGTTGGTCCATGTCGGCCCAGTTGTTCCCGGTCCTCTGGGGAGTAGCATCCGCTAGGGCTCTGTGGGACAAGGTACCCTGGCTTTGCGGTGGCAATGGTCTTGGTGGTGCGGATGGGGTTTGGGGTGCCGGCAATGTACCTCGGTGCACTCTGATTATTCAAAGTCTAATATTTAAGGCGGCAACGAGTTGAGGATCCGCTTGTTGAGTGTGCCATTCAACCATGATCAACACTACACCTGAAGCTCCCTTCTCAAAGAAATTGCAGCTTACTTTACACGTTGGTCTGGGAGTTGGAGTTGTGGCGTCCGGCTACGTCCTGGGGCAGGTGTTTCATTTATCATGTTGCAACGATGTACGTCTCTGCAGGTTAGGCTGCGGCTATGCCGCATGGTTTGCCACATGGAGTGCGCTTAGCTTCTTTAAGATGCGGTCTGCGGGCAAGGCACGGGCTGGGAGTGGAATGTTCAGTGTTTGGATCATGCTTTGGAGTTGCAACGGCTTCCTCCAGAGACTGCCTGCAGGATGAGTGAAATGGAGGCAGCATCGAATCATCGCAAACGAGCTCTTTCACGCATGGCCCGTGGTCGGGTGGTCTTCGGAGGAGAGTGCGGAGGCAGATAGCTGCGGCCAAGAAAAGCTGGCGCACAGCAGAAGACTCTCAAGGGGTCCCACAAGAATGTGGCTCGTGAGCTGATGTTGTATGCTCTTTGAGCCTGTCAGCCTCATGGCGGCTGGCGTTGTGGCGGCGCCAACAGCAGCGACCATCTTCAGACATTTCAAAGCACTACTCGGTGTAAAGGGGTGCCTTTCGAGGTCTCGAGAGCCTAGGCTCCAAGACTCACCCTGCACTTGGGCAGTGGAAAAACAAGTGCTACCAGTGTGGCGAGGGTCGCCAGCCAACTAGCAGCAACTAACAGCTTGCTGATGGTGCACTGATGGAGGCCGGTGTGGAGTTCCGCGTGGCTGTCACGGAGTTGCCACGGACTTGGCTTGGCAAGGCAGCCTACTCGAGGCGGAGGGTGGAGAGTTACTTTTTTTTTGGGGGGGGGGGATGGGTGGGTGGTGGGCAGGGGTGGGTGGGTGGGGTTGGGGTAGGACGCAAGCATGATACACTTCATGCACTTGCTTGGCCGAGCTCCATGTAGCCCAACGCTTCGTCACTGAGGCGGATTCTCTTCACCTCCATGCAGGCCAAAGAAAGGGTGTACACATGTTTACAAAGCTTGCAAGCGTGGGATTTCATGTCGCCAAGATCCCGATGGATAAATTTGAATAGGGGAGCATTCGTCAGTTGTGATCAAGGACTGCCAGTCAAGTCGAACAGAGCTTGGCGAACTCTCCTGTGTGAGGATTGGCGCTGCCACCCTACCAAGCTGTCAGATATAGAGCAGCAGACCCAGATGATCTCCTGGGCCAGTGTTCTTGATCTCATGCCAAGATTCTACCCACAAAGGCTGTACCTGAACGAGCGCATTCTCGAATTGAACACCAGTCCGAGCCCAATCCTTCCACAAGAGCCCCCAGTGCCCGCCGGCACTGTTGTCGACGACACTTCTGGTCGCCATAGCAATGATACTGTGGGGTTTGGAGTTGACGGCCAGATCAAGTGACAAGTGACTTCGTGCAAGGTGGCCGGGAGTTGACCTTCCAGGCTGGAGCCACTTCTTCTGACCACCTTAGGATTTCTTGGAGATTTGTAGATTGAAGCACGTCGGGGTAGTCCGACCGCCGAAGCAGCACACACGCTTGCCATCTTCCAGCGTTACCGTCCTCGAGTCGTGCCGAACCTTGTGGCCAAAGCCACTTTGTGAGTTTTGGGGGTCTAGGATGTGACAGTGCCTTGGCAGGATCCCAAGGGAACAGAGGTCTGGAGGCTGCCAGCGGAGGGCCAGGCCAGGCCACGCTTGTCCATGCCGCAGACATGGAGCCACTTGCAACAAGAAGACCACCTGTAGGTGACACTCGATCCGGTTGTTCCCTTCAAAGCAATGATTCACCTCAGCCCGCTGCTGAGCCGGGACTCTTTGTATCAGTTTGCGCACGCTTCCAATAGTTCGCAAGCTCTGCAGTCTGTGCTTTCGCAAGTCCCGAAAAGTCGCTGCACCTGGTCCACTTTGTCTTTCACACTCGGCCACCACTGTCACATGAAAGCCGCTCGCTTGACTTTTCTCTTTGCGGCCGAGGCCACTTGAGCCGGTATCCCGGCGGAGATGCCAACCCCCTGCCCGCATCCGGGGGCATGTTCCGCCTTGTTGCCCGGGCCCTGATGGCAGGGCTGCCTCATGCGCCAAAGGGGTTTAGCCGAGGCATGACCTGAAATTGAGAGACCTGACAACGATCAGTTGAACAGGGTATAGTTGAAAGAGGTGGGGGTTCATATCTCATAGCCGTGGCTTCAGTCGACAGCGCACTCAAGGTAGATGACGGGCTTTTCGTGGACAGGGCAGAGATCGTGGAGGCGGGCATGCCGCTTTGTCACGTCCTATCTGCTTTACAAGAGCTTTCCCTGCGGGGCATCTACCGTCGCACTGGCCTTTTTACAGGGCAACCGCTCGATCCTTCTCCCAGCAGCGGCGACTTGCGGCACCCTGGATGCAGAGAGCCAGAAGAGCTGATGGCTTGTTCAATGCCGTTCCAGGTTTGTCTTCATGCTTTGCTATGCTTTGCGCAGCAAGGTGACTACAACCTCAGCTGTGGGGAGGGCAGGCAGTTGATTGACAATGCGACGTGGTACAGGCCACCGTGTTTCCTTCAAGTGGGTCGCTGCTGTCGGATTGGTGCTTCAGGGCCTCGGAAGGGATCCAATATTGTTCGGCGTTCTACTGGTGCTGCCTGGTCGGCTGACCTGTCAGCAGTCATTCTTGGTGTTCTCTGGGCCTGAGAACATGCTTTGTCGAACTGGGGGTGGGAATGCAGCCAGCACGTGAGGTGTCCTAAGCGTGTCAGTTTCGGCGAACGGTGCTTCCCTGCACCGCTAGAAATCCCTTCGCGCCCTCAAAGAAACTCACCACCCCGAGTAGCCTGAGTAGGCAAAGCGGTTCTAATTGTAGCTTCCGCAAGCACTTGTGCACGTAATCAGCAATGGCAGCAAGCTTCTTGATTCGCAAAGGGCGCTCTGACGAACAGCAACTGTTGTTCGACTTGTGGCACGCATCCGTTTTGGCGACGCACCGCTTCCTGTCAGAAGAGGTGCTTGCTGAGATTGCCGCCGAGGTGAAAACCAAGTTCTTGCCGAATGCTGTGCCGGATGTCATCGTCGATGCTAGTGACAAGCCACTGGGTTTTATGGTCATGACAGGGGACAACGTTGATGCGCTCTTCGTTGATGTTGCACACCACGGCCAGGGCTTGGGGACCCGGCTCATGGAAAGAGCAAAGTCTGGGCGGACAGCGCTGACTGTGGAGGTGAACGAACAGAATCCCGGAGCCTGGGCCTTCTACCGCCGCTGTGGTTTCGTCGACATCGACCGGAAGCCCGTAGATGATTCCGGCCGTCCCTTTCCAATCATCACGTTGAGGTGGGAGCTTCATGGAGCGGCACCTGAGTGAGAGAGGAACCTCTTCGAGGGGAACGCCGAGCAGCGCAAGGTAGCCCTGTGCAGGACAGGTCTCTGGCACAGACGCCACCCTTCCCAGCCTTATCTGAAACGGCGATCCTTTGCAGCTCTTAAGCTGGGTGCGGGTGATGGATCGATGCCGCCAAAAAACGCCTGACCAGAAGGGGTCGTTTGATATCGTTCGTCAATCATCTGAGGTTCAAGCTTCGCTCTCTTTGAGCTGTTGCAAGTTGTGAGCTTTCAAGCCAGAGGCTGCTTGTCGCCCAAACTCCCGGTCCTCACACCCTTTGCTGGGAGGTGTGCGGACCCGATGGCCTGCACGGAGCTCGACAATGAGACCTGCTGCGAGGCGGCAGCGGCTACCATGTCTTTAGAGCAGCCCGATGCCTTGGCAATGGAAAGGACATGCCCTTGACAACGCTTGCACCGACCACGGCCTTGCCCCGAGTAGCACCAGCAAGTGAGGTGGTTACGTTCATGGCATATTCGGCCGAGCTGAGACATTTCCAGAATGCCTCCTGACTCCTGAATAACTCCTGAGCTTACCGCCGCAGAGCCTCCAAGGAAGCGCCATGTCTGTTCAATGACACGAACTGCAGCAATGACACTCTCGCTTGGGCCTTGACTTGCTTCAATCATGCAAATAGAGGTCATTCCTGTGGACTTTCTGAGGGGGACTCCGGCCGGCGGCTGATGGGTCCTGTGCGCCCTCCAGTGGACGTGACGCTTGTGGAAGCCACCTACGACCTTGAGGCACACGCATCACACTCCTGGTGCTGAGCACGCTCCTTGTGTGCTACTGTTGTATGCTATCACTTGCATAATCATAAAGTATGATTCGTACTGTTATCATACTGCAGCAGCACTTTAAACAAATACTTTTGGTGAACGCCGCGGCCTCCGTGTCACATCGCAGGTGCTCGCATCGCCGGTGTTTAGCCTTCCAATCCCCATCTGCGAGACCCGGTGCCCGCGTCTGCAGCATCTGAAGCATCGGCAGCGTTGTAGTCAAATTGTAGTAGCATTGCAGATGAGCACGTGGCATTGCGGCATTGGGGTGGGAACTGTCCTGGATAGGTACCAGGACCTGCACAACCGCACTGCAAGAATCTACGTGTCACTTGAGGCCAGGCCCCATTCACCCGTGTGCAGAGAACTCTCCAAGTTTCAAGCTGACCTCTAGATGTCCCGTCGGTCTTGGCGCCTAGCCGCTTGGACTATACAAGCAGGTTCCGGTGAATGTGCGTGGCCGGCGAATGCCACAGGAGTTCGAGGCCTTCTGTTGGTTCTGTGCAGTTGGATTCATCTGCCTTGTGTTCCATTCTGCAGGTCTACTTGCCAGCGACAGCGGTGCAGGACTGCTCCAGACGTGGCAGGTGGTCCTGTAGCCTTCCCATGTGTTGAAGCATCATGCAGGTCAGGAGCTTTCAGGGCTCAACAGCTGTTGGTCCGTCCTTCAGCGTTGTGGTTTTATGCTTCTTGCCATCTCACCATCACTTGCAAGGGCTTGTACATGACTTAGCCATCAACATGACACTCTGCGCCCTGTCGCCATGGTCCCGAAGTGGAAGCCGAAGCCCTGACCTGGGCCCTGCGCAGCCTGCGCAGCCTGCCCGGCCTGCGCAGCTTGCGCCGCCCTGGGCCGTGCGGTCGCCGTTCGACCAGCCCCTCGGCTCAGTGCAGATTGTCTTGTGATTTTGTGTTTCGAGACAGTTCAGAATCAGAAGCGATGAGAAGGATACCTGATCCTGTGCTGTCCAGGATTCAGAGGAGGAAGGACCGATGCCTGGGCTGTGTTTCTGCCGGCTTCGTGTCTGGCTTCGCCTGTCGCAGATTCAGGCATTTTGAGCTTCTTTTCGCGTAAACGTGCCTTCAATGCAGTAGTGCCGCAGTTTTCTGGAATGCTCTATGCCCCTTGCACCAGGCATTGGAAGACTGCTCCTTGTCTGCATGCGAGGTGGCTGCCAGACTGATACTGATGCCAGGAAGGCTCGTGCTAAATTTCGACGTTAGATTTCGTGCTACCAGTTGGCAGACATTCCGAAGAAGCCCTCCAACTGACCTTCCTTGTTGCCAGAATCGCCAGAACCGAACTCAGGGCCGTCGCGCGTGCCCGACCTGGCTGCCAGGCGACGAGGAGCCGTGGAAATGAGTCCAAGACTTCCAAAAAACCCCACAACCTTTGCGTCGACTGGGCATCCTTCCTTAGCCCTTGAAGGGCGCTCCAAAGCCCAAACCGGCCTTGAGGAGTTGACGAAGATCGCTGCAGGGGAGCGGCCCCTAGGAGCCCTGACCTCTTCATTTTGTATTTGTTCTTGGGGGAGTTGGGTGGGGGCTGGGTGGGGTTGGTGGGGGGTGGGGGTGGGGAGTGTGGGTGGTGGGCGGGTGGGTGGGTAGGTGGGTTGGTGGGTTGGTAGGTGGGCGGGGGGGAATCCATCCTAAGCCCGAGTCACGGTATGCGCCCCGCCCGACACCTCCCTGTCTTGGGGCGGTGACAAGTTTCAGTCGCCTGAAGGCTGAGCCCGCGCTATTAAGGCATACCATTCGGCGACATAACCCAGATGTTGACCTCTTTGTTGGATTTGGAATTTGCTGCAAGTTACTGTGCCAGTTGCTAGCTTCGCACTTGTATTCCAAGCGAATCGAAGGATTCTTCTGCCTCCGGTCGCCACAAAGTGACGAGAGCGCAATGGTCATCTGCGAGCTTAAAACAAAGGAGCAGCTCGACTCAAATGGAGTTTGCTGGGTGCCTTGTTGGAACCATTGTCAATAAGCTGCGGGTTGCCGCTTTCGAATCACATGCCAGGGAAAGCGAGCGTCGCTTCCACGTCCCCACGTCCAACGGCCTTGAGCGGTTTGAGGTGAGCAGGTGGGAAAAATAGGGTACGCGCGGCAGTGGTTTGTTTGCAAGGGCCCAGGGACAGTTGACGGTTTGGCGTCTGCACATTACTGCCTCGCAGTTGTCCCTAAAGCAGCCATCGTAAGCTCTGGGCAAGGATTGTTCAGGAAGACGTCGCGTCGACCGAAGCATCAAGTTTGGTTCCCCAAACATCACCGGAAGCAAGCCGTTCGTACATATCAGATAGGCACACAGAAAGTGTGACGGCCATCAGTCAATACACAGCTCGTCGGTGCACCGCAGCCGGTGTGCAGGTACAGGAACACCGTTTTCCCCTTCCTACGGATGCGAACAGCTACGTTGCATGCGGCAGGTGAGTGACTCCCTGCATCTCCCCACACAGAAGCATCCAAGTCAAGCCACCTGGTGGGATGCTTCGAAAGGTCGCAGAGAAGACACGGCTAAGTTTGCATACCCGGGCATACCCGGTCATACCCGGTCACACCCGGTCATACCGTCCCGTGGTTTTCCGCAGTCGTGGTTTTCCGCAGTCGCGGTTTCCCGTCACAGTGTTCTGAAAACTACTAATGGATAAACTTAGTCTCGGTGGCCCTGCAAGGTGGTGGAGCTGCCTTTCTCCGAAGGGAAACTTGGAGGGTGCCCAGGCTTTGCGATTGATTCCTCTTGTCGTCGAAGCTGATGCTAATGCCTTTACCTCCGGTCTTGAATCACGCTCCCGACCCATGGTGTGTGAGAACTACAAGTTTCCCTTTGAGGCACCTCTGGGACGGCGGCATCCTCATGGCTGCTTGGGCAGCGCAGAGATGCGATGCGCTGGAAGGGCACAGGGTGCTGGAGCTGGGTTCAGGTGGAGCTGTGGAGACACAACAGTTTGAAAGGATGCAGAAAGGAAGAGTCAAGAGGAAGAATGACCATGGCATCAGATTGCTTTTCGTGCAGGTGTGGGGCTTCTGGGCATCGTGCTGGCGCGATGCTCGGCATCCTCCGTTGTGCTCTCGGCGCCTTGCCATCAAGTCAAAGGGCCTATCTTATCTTGCGCGGAGGGGTTGCATGGTGTTACGATCAGAAGGAGTTTGGACTCTAGCCTCCTACTTTTCTTGGAGCCCGTTAAGCATGATGGGTTCCAGCGGTAGATCAGAAGCTCGGTTGCGTCGCTGCCAAGCAAGGGCTCTCCGGTGCCTTCTACTAAGGACTTCGGTCCCGATGAGCATGCGGAGGGACCTGAGGCCTGGACTTACCCTTACCCTAACCATCCCCCAAAATCCACAATACGCGCAGAAAGCGCATCGAGCGCAGGACAAGGGGCGTCTGATACCTCCTTTGCTGCTGGACAATTTGATGCTTGCCTTAGCTTGTGGCGTCGCTGTTCTCGAGGTTTCCTTTTTTTTTTTTTTTTTTGTGTGTGTGTGTGTGTGTGTGGGTTTGTATGGTTCTAAGGCGGGACAATGTCGCCCGCAACAGCCTGACGAATGCTGAAGTCACTTTGCCGCGAGATTCCCTTATACTAAACATGGCTCTGATGGTGCGACCATGTGACATGCTGTGCCGCCTTCCGCTTGCTCTCGCGAACGTGCTGGGCAGCTAAGGTTTGGCATTTGGACTGGCTGGACTTCCTCCGAGGCCAAACCTGTAACTGCAAGAAACCGCAAGAGTGCAAGGCGACTGCGAAACAACTTGCCAGTTGAGGCTGCCCGAGTGCGCAACAAAACCGTAAGTTGAGCCCGCATTGAGTTGAGTTCAACGTTTTGCAATTTGCCAGGCCGGCAACCGACAGAACGCTTTGAGCGGCTGGTGGCCGCAGAGCCCCGGATGCCTGTGCCATCCAATGCCATCCTGTGCCATCTGTAGGTGTACACAGTCCAACGAGGGCTCTCAACTCACTACGATTGCTGGGAGACCTTTCAACCCGAGGATGTGGTGTACTACTCTTCAGACTTGCCTGCGCTGGCAGCTGCGATTGCTGCGCATTTGATCCTCGGACCAACGGGTTGGCGAAGTTGAGCAACTTCGTGCTACGGCGGTATGCTGAGTAGTCAGCAACTTGAAGCAACCTTTCCTGAGCCAAGACATCCAAGAGCTTCTGTCGTTTCTCCTAGGCTGCCGGGAGGCCTGGCCTTCATCACCGTTCCACGGCGGAAGTGGCGTGGAGCGCAGGCGAGGCGGCTTTGGAGGAGGTCTTGCGCAATCGAGAAGAGAGGGCACACCCGGCACACCCGCGAAGGCCTCCGAGCGAAGCACGGCGGAGGATGTGAGGGTCGCACAGAGTGGAGAGATGTCAGCCGAGATGTCTGAAGAATGAGAAAGGGCGTTTGGCGCAGCTTCTTGGGTCGTGTGAGGATCTGGTCAAAGCACTGGAGCCTTTTGGAAAGGTGGAGGTCGAGGAGCTCATCGGTCCCGCACTGAGCATACTGTGTCATACTGACTGTACTGCTGTACTTGGCGTTTTCTATTTTTCGCGGTTGTCTTTTGTTGAGATTGTCGACTGCACTGTGCTGCTCCTCTCAACTCAGGCTACTGCTGCACGTTGGAAGAAAATCCTGTTGCGCTCATACAGCTGCAACGCTCAGCTTCCTAACTTCGAGTGGGTCGCGATTCGCTGGCAGCGCTGCAGCGCTGCGTAGTTCAGGCACTTCGCCATGCGGTGCCTTCCAGTGCCTGCTATGTTTTATGATGTTGTCGTGGAAGCGCCCAAAGAGGCATTTCACACCGAGGCTTTCACCGGAAGGTACTCGAGCCAAGGGAGAAAGAATCGTTTATGAGACTTCTGCGAGACTGAAGTCTGGCACTGCACATTGGCTGTTCGGTCTTTGAAGGACATGCTGGGCAACTTCCCCCAAGAGGCAGCCATGATCTCATTCTCGTCTACCTTGCGTGTTTGTCTCATTTTGCCCGCTACTTGTAGCCTTTCAAGCCCAAGTATTGCCAAACACTGATGCTGACAGTGCTGAGGCCAAGGCGAAAGCTGTGTATTCTTGAATGTGCCAGGCACGATCTGCAAGCACCTGAGCTGGATGTGCGACGGCCTGAGGATTTGATGAGGCATGTCGCAGTTGCCGCACATCACTGTTTCATTGTTTCCACTTCGCACGACGCACGTTTCAACGAGACTGAGCTGCGCAACTGCGGTTGGACATGAGCAACTATCCACACGGTGACATGGTCTTTGCTCAGGAAAGCCTGCCATCCAGCCAACAATCGCAATGCCACGGAGCAGGACAGCAGCTTCAGCAGAGTGTCCACAGAGTGAACGCAGCTGCTACTGGTAAAATGCGGCCTCAGCCTGCCTTGGCTCTTTGGCCTTGCAGGAAATCATCCAGCTGAGCGGGGAACTTAGTCACTTAGTCGTGTTGCCGGGTGCAGGCTGATGGCTGATGGACTGGTGCAAGAGAGAGAATCGGGCAAAGAATTCTCTCGATCTTTGTATCAGAGTGACATGGCGACCTGATGACATCTGCAGAGAGTGGGCTCTGAGGCTTCACGGAGGAGATCAAGGCCGGCCATGGCTTCTTCGAGTTGTGGGACGTGGAGGATCAGAGCGGCATCTCGGCACCACCGGAAAGTTTGAGACAAATTTGAGATGACTTCTCTGCGGACGCTGTCGCTGTGACGTCTCCGAGCAATTGCAGCCCTTTGCTGTCGGATCTTATTCCCAAGCTGAGGACCCCAATTTCGAATTGATGTCCAGCCCCTCGGAAGCAGTGGTAGAGTATGATAAGCCTTCTCCCGTGGTAGTGCCGAGAAATCCCTTCGTCTTCATGACAGCTCTGCAGCCCGGAATAGGAGCCTGGCAGTGGGCAACTCCGAATATCCAGGGTCCTGGCCCTGGCAGTTGCGCCCTGGAAGTCTCATCGAGCAGGGATGTACGAACCTGGCTGATTGATAGTAGAATCACTTCTCGGCATTCCCCTAACAACACCGGCCGGCTTCCGTGAAGTTGGCTTCTGCGACCTTCACCAAGGCGTTCCCTCATCGATGGCCAGGTTGTCACTCTTATCCCTTCAGCCATCTGTGAAGGCGGGTATGTGCGGTCCAACACATCGCTAGGTCGAGTTGTGCGCTCCATGCCCTTGCTTGGTCACATGCTTTCAGCTTTCACACAGAATAGAACAGAATAGGATAGAATAGAATATGATAGCAAGCCAAGCACAACAGCCTCTCAGCAGGCGACTTTAGAACCGAGTTTTCCAAGTGCCCGTGCTTCTCAAGCCTAGACCTACACGCAACTAATGTAGGCCTGTCCCTCGGAAAGGCAAGCAGAAGACGAACACGACAATGCTGAACAAAACATTAGCCAGTCTCGGCCAGAGATGCCAGCACCAACCGCATGCAGCATCTTGGACACCAATCCTGAGCGTGATCTTCACCCCAGCGGGCACTCTGAGCAATGAAGACTCGCACGGCCTCGCCGGGCGTGGGCTCCCGGGCAGCCGCAAGAGGCGTGGCTCGGCGACGAGGAGATCCTCCTTCCGCTCCGAGTTATTATCGTAGCAATACGTAGCAATCGAGAGTCATTGATAGCTGAAACAACGAGCTTTGTCCAAGCCAAGGCGGCCCTGCAAAAGACGGCGTGCCCAGGCAGCTGGTTGTTTTGTAGAAACTTTGTACAAGGGAGGGAAGGAGGAGCGCAAGCCACAGTTGATAGGGGGTCGTGCTTCTTTGTTGTTGTGATGTCCATCATGTCAGCTTTGTGCCCCAGTAGGGGGCGAGGGCTTATGTTGCTGCTGTTTGCATTGCCGCATCGCAGACGGCCCGGCGGCAAACGACCCCCTGATGTCCTGGCTGGCACTGGCCTCCTTCAGTGCTCTGATGACGGTTGTCTTAGCGAAGCAGTGGGCAGCCACCTATCAGCATGGGGCAAAGCGATGGCAGGGAATGGTTTCACAAGGCTTTGTCTGAGATCCTAGGGCTGAGGGGGTCACAGGTTTTCTAAGTTACAAGTCGGGTGCTGTAAGTGAGCAGTGGCTTGCGAATGCAAAAACGTGCGGTTGCTGGATCGCCTGCATGGCGCGCACCGTGCGCTTTGTGAGCGCTCGCCGTCGCGCGTCCGCGAGTTGGCAGCCGCGCGCCCATTGTCCACACGTTTGCCCCGATCCCGGGCCGTGCGTCGGCATGTTTGCGTTCGCGCCTCGGCACATTTGCGTTCGCAAGCCTGCACGTTTCGCCTTCGCGCCCGCACGTCTCAACACGTCACACGAGTAGCAAGTCTTTGCTCGTTCTCAATTTTCAGCACCCTGAGCTCAGATTTAGATTAACTAGCACAAGTTCCCTTATGGCCACCGGCTGCGCAGCTGATTGAGGTACCGCCAATCGTTCCTGCGGACTCCCCACTTTCGGCAGGTTTCAGCGCCGACAGAACCCGTGATGCTGGCAGCCGGAACTTAGCAAGGCTTTGTGTTTTGGGCATGTTTGCAGGACGATCGTTGAGACATGTTGAGCATGATGCAGCGAGACCTTGCAGAAAGCCAAACGGCAAACGTATCTTTGTGTTGGAGTTGACTTCGCGTCCTGTTCATGGCGACCTGCTGTGCCCGAAGTAGGATCCACCAGCAGAGGTCTTGCATGACTTGGAAGCTTGTGGGCCGAAGTACGTTGGCGCGAGAGGCAATGAGGTCTGTGCGGTTCAGGCTGTGCTGAAGCAGTTGCTCGGAGAAAGTAAGAACTATAAGAACCGGGCTGTCTGAGGGTTCATTGCTTTCAACATGACTTTTTTGGCCCTCCACCTGCTTTGAGACTCTTTTCAGAAGTAGGTGGGTCAGACTGCTGGCATCTCCTTGGTCCTGAGGATTGCGAAGTCTGCCGAAGGCCGAGAGTCAAGTTTGACGTTGGAGACGCAATCTGCCTCTGGCCATTACTATATAGACTTTGTCGGAGGCTTCACCGTAGCTTATCGCAACCTCACGAATGTGGTCGCCAGGGCCCGTGGCCGAAGGTCGGGCTCGAATTGTGCTTTGCTTATCTCTTCCCACTTTGACTCGGCCATCGGGTCTGTGGCAACTTCGGACGCGAATGCGGAGATCGCAATCATGACCGAACTGCTTCGGCTATTTCTACATGATCCCCTCGATGTGGATGTAATCTTCAATTTCAATGGGGGAGAGGCTTCCTCGATGCGCTAAAAACTTTCAGGGAAGTCTTAATCATTCATTTTGTCCTCGCCCCTCAGACCTCTCCACACCTCTCAGACCTCTCAGGCCTCAATCTTGGCATGTCTCTGCCTAGGAGTTCATCATGCCGGCTGCGCACGGATTTATCACCTCACACCCGTGGGCCTCGGAGATCTGTGCCCAGATCAACCTTGCACCTCGATTTGATCAGATGGCTGGAGGTTTACGGCTGGAGCCTCCCACACCGATTCCCGGCACCCTTTGTGCCCTGGAGGAAGCCGCTGGGTCTGGTGGGCGCGAGCTTCTCTTCCAGGTGCTGTCCTGATACTGTTGGATGTATGTATGCAGAGATCACTTCGAAGTTGCTTGTTCATTCGCCCGATGCCTTAAATCTCAAACTCTCGGTTTGAAAAAACTTTAGCTTTTCGACCTAAACCCAGTTGGAAGGCACGAAGTTTCATTATGCCCACGCTTTGAGGTGGGACCGCAGAATCGATGGATCGTGGAAGCCTATGGCCAAAATGCCACATGGCACTTTCCATGTCTCGATGCATCTGTTTCTGAGATCGTCCTGGGTGTGAAAGCTGGAGGGGAAGCTTCGAGTAGGTTATCCGCTAGCTTGGCGCGACCCAGGTGAGGCGGCCTTATGGGTCTTCAATCTCGCAGGTCCTTTTTCAGCTAGGCCGGTTGTGCAGCCCAAGCCCTGAATTTGCAGCAGCTCAGAAGGCCATGCGTAATAAAGTTAGTAGCATCATGGGCTGGATTGCTCTTGGGTCGTTTCAGGCATCATTCCTGGAGAGACCGACTATCGAATCTATCGCGACTTCGGAGGTATTCCAGGACCTCTCTGTAGACGAGCGAATGCTGCAGTCTGCTTGGATTTCTTCAGCCATCGCTGGACTGGAAGCAGTTTGCCATGTTCTGCAGGAGCTGACTTCGCTGTCTTGACATATGGCTGGATTTATCACACCTGGCGTGACAACCTCGAACACCTCGACTTTCGTTCCGTTCAGAGGCATCTTTTCTGAATGCTGCCGTGCCAGGCTAGCATGGTTTGTAGGCGACTTGCTGCAGATGCGCTCAGGTATGGAGACACCATCAACGAATTTGCACAGGGCCTGGCTAAGAAGCTCGGCGATGGCCGTCCTACAGGCGGGTGCATGTTGTGTTATCAGCAGCAGTTCGGCTTTCACACAAGGTCAGGTGGAGGCGGGATGAATTCAAAAAAACGAATCAGCATTGCAGTTGCTGTTCCCGCGGCGAAGTGCAAAGTGCAACATGACATCTGCGACTCTGCGACAGCTCCGTATGTGTGTATGCATGTACAATATGTATATCAGTGACACTGCAGATGGACGATAGTTGGAAGACATGGCCATAAACAGCCGGTGAGAAGACCGCTCGTAGACTAAGACTCCCCGACAGGAAGTGACGCATCAGATTCGGCGGTGTTCTTCGACATTGGCGGTGTCTTCTTCGTTGAATATTCAGCAGATTTGGCTAGGACAGGCCACCCTAAGGCCACAACACGACAGACCTAGATCTCTGAACTAAAGAAAACGGTGAAGTTGAAGGTCGGTAAGCTGTGTGCGCGGATGGTCTGGACAAGAGTCCGACGAAAGGCCTGTCAAGTACAGGGCCCTACTGCAAGTCTGCAAGATTGCAGGAAGATGCACGTGGCTGTCGCAGTCATTGTGCTCTCAAGCTTGCCACTGGCCTGATGTGAAGGATGATGTGTTTAAGCAGACAGCAAGTTCGCCCAAGCAGTTAGCACTTGGCGCACTGCACACCCTGTCTTTTCCTTAGTAGTCATGCTGCGGGTCAGTATGGCCCCATCATGTCGTCTAATATGTGTGAGGCTGCAGCAGAGTTCCTTCTCTTCGAGTTCAAAATGCTTCTGAGGCTGCTCAGAAGGGGCACGGCTTATGCGGCCGACATCCTCAAAGCTGCGATGATGCTCAGATAAGAAGAGGCACTGCAAAGGGCCAGGACTAGAATAGCGTGCGGCCCATGGTCAAAATACTGGTGTTTCCCAATGGACGCCGAAACACACACTCGCCGACATGCACCAGTAACCAGAATGTAAATTACCTCGTGCAACTACCTCCTAGTCTCGAGTTGCAAAGCTCGATGTGCACGGCCATCAGGCCCTGACGGAGGAGTCTTTTCCCAAGCCTGCAGAGGAATCATGTAGCAGCTTCTATGTCATCGGCTGTATGAGGAAACTGGCAGACGGCATGTGCGACGGAGCAGCCACATAGCAAGAGCTCTCAAGCGCAATGAGCGGTCGCAAGTCCCGTGGAGCAAACATATGCCCCCTGCACTCAGGAAGCTTTTTCTGGCTTGTCTGTCATCGCTGCTTGCGGCTGCTGCTACTGGCGGCCTAGCAGGGCGGCTCAGAGCTGTGCGGAATGGGGACAGTTTTACAGTTCAGTCCAGTGTTTGGGGCCATGAAGCTATCATCGAAGTTGTCGAGATTTTTGTCGAGTTTCCGGACCGTGGCTCAAGAAACAGGCTTTTTCATTTCAAGCTTCTTTCTGTGGCTCTACAGGCTACATGCTGAAGGGTCTGTGAGCGCCAAGCGACCAGCTCTAAACGGATCGAGGAAGCAACACGGGACAGCAACAGGCAGAAGTAAATCGGTACCAGAAATCGTATCCGACGATTCCCACCTTTCCGCAGGTGAACACGTTTGACACTTTATACTTGTATCGTGATCATTCAAGAAGCCTTTAGGACTGTTGTCTTAGTTGGTATCTTCTTATTGCTTTTTCTCCTCTCCTCCGAGAAAAAGCGGAACAGTTTGAACAGTTTGAACATGCTGGCTGGATGGGTGGAGCGCGGCTCGGGAGCTGGGGGGTCCGCCAGTTTGGAAGGGTGGACCGCGTTTCGAGATGGAAGTAAATGAGAGAATGCTTCCTGCATGCTTTGGTACGGCCTTCATCATAGCAAGTTGGCATAAGAAATGCTGAAGTACTACTCAGGTACTACATGTAAAGGAGTACTTGTGAGCCCAGCCCCAAGCTTTCTTCTGCGAAGACGGAACACAGGTCGCGCTCACGCCGGCGGCGCTCGCCGGCTCCGGGCATCCTGAACTCGCGCCGCTGCGCCCCGGCTGTTTACTTTAATTGTAACGCTACGCCGCCCGCCTCGGCCTGGCCCAGTGCAGCCCCGTGAGCATGTGCATGGTTGCGAGAAGCTCTGCAGCTGCGCAGGGTCACAGAGGCAATTTTGGCCAGGACGCAATAGGACGCATGTAGCCGCCTCATGCCTCAACGCCAAATGCTAGACCCTAGACCCGAGGCCCTAGACCCTAAACCCTAAATCCTAAACCCTACACCCTACACCCTAGACCCTAAACCCTAAACCGCATGCTCAAGCGACGTGCTGCGCACCAGGTTTCACACGCACCGTGACCACGCAGAAATGAGTGGCGCAGAGATCTTGGGGTGCAACCCTGCACCAGGGATGGGCACGGGTGGGTGCGGGGGGTGGAGGGGAGGGGGGGCCAAAAGAGGGGGGGGCGGGGGGGGGCCTGCAAAAGGGGGGGGGACGGGCGGGGGGGGGGGGCAACGGTCCTGTTGCGCCGTCCGCACCGCCACCCCCGTTTGCCTCGGGGGTACCCATTGCAGGAAAAAAACGCCGAAAAAAGGGGTGCAAACTGGGTCTTGTGCTGTTGGGGAGAAGATTAGAGGTGGGGAGCCTGCTTTGTGCCACCCAAACACCTACGGCCCGAGGCCTCGGCGGATTTGTTGGGCGTGTGTTGGGTTGAAAGGGGTGGAAGAGGTAGAGAGGGGACGGGTAGGTGAGAGCTTCGTGATTTAGGGCGGTGAGGATGTTTCAGGATGTGTGGGGATGTTGAGGATCTGCAGTTAGGAAAGTTTAGAGGTGAGGGCGGCTTTTGTGATGTTTTTCTCGAGCAAGGTGATGAGGGTTTCTGTCTAGGGCGGGGTATTAGGTAGGAGTGTAGGATGTAGGAAAAGGGCTCGAAGTTCACTGAACCCTTCGTGCACCACAAATCGCGCGAGTTTGGAAGGGTGAAGCCCAAGCGGCTGACAAGGCCCTCGTCCCTACGGCCCTTAAACCATTGAACCAAATTGTGGGAAATACGTCGCTCCAGGCTCTTTGTGCCACCTGCGCTGGCAGCCTTCCTAGGCTGAACTTAGGGTTTAAGGGTTTAAGGTTTGTAGGGCTTGGGATATGCAGAAATCTGCGGTTGAGAAGACGCCCTCCAGTCTGGCCAGGCTGCATTAAGCTACTGGGTCGAGATGAGCCCATCATTGCAGAAGGCCCGGCCTCAGGGTTTGCCAGAAGGCAGCGACCTTGAGAAAAGGAAACGGATTCCTTCCACGTTTTGAGGATCTTGGGTGATTTCCTGGGTTCAATCTGCCATTCACGCCCCGCTGCATCCGATGGTGTACAGGAGTTGCAAGAGTTAAAAGAAAACAAGAGTTCACAAGAGTTCACAAGCTAAGAGTTCGCAAGAGTTCACAAGAGTTCGCACGAGTTCACAACAGTTCACAGGAGTTCACAAGAATCACAACAATGGCGTTCTTCAACTCGCACCGGCCTTGCAGGGTCCATCGCGTTGGGTGCACTGCTCTGCTTTGGCCTCTCGCTGAGCTCAGTTTCTGTGCTGGCATCCTATCCGACGCTTGGCTGGTGCCAGAAGCATACCCTGAAGCCTCGGTAAGGGCAAACAGATGACGGGGAGGATGCTTGCTGTCATCAGGTTTGGCTTGGCCCGCTTCGTCAGGATAGAAGTCCAATCGTCAAGAGAGTCCCTGAAACTGGAGTGCACTACTAAGATGTGAAAAAGCATGAACACACCCACGCACCCACGCACCCACGCACCCGCGCACCCACGCACCCACGCCCCACACCCCCCACGCCCCCACGCCCCCCACGCCTCCCACGCCCCCCACGCCCCCACGCCCCCACGCCCCCACGCCCACGCCCCCACCCCACGCCCCCACGCCCCCACGCCCCCACGCCACCCCCACGCCCCCACGCCCTCCCCCGCCACGCCCCCACCACGCCCCCCATGCCCCCATGCCCCCACGCCCCCACGCCCCCACCCTGCCCACCCACCTACCCACTCACCACCTACACGCCATCACACGCCCACACACCCTTACACCTGCCACACTCCCCCGCACCCCCGCACCTCACCCACATGCACGCGCGCACGCCCGTGCGCACACGCGCACGAGAACATGCACGCGCTTGCGTAAGCATTGAGGCAGTGTATGAAATTCTCGGGGAGGTTCTTGTTTTGGTCGGCGCTGCCCGCGCTGGCCGCTTTCTGCCCTCGGCCGCTGCGCTCACTCTCGGTTCCGGCAGCTTTCGTGGCCTGGTGACGCACGGTTTGTCCGTTTTGTGATGGCTTCTCAGAGCATCTTCGACTGTTGTCGGCTCACTTGCAGTGGGCGCCTTGAGGGCTTGCGGACTGAGGTTTTTCGTGCAAGGCTAACGAAGGGCAGAGGGTGGAAGGAGGCGGAGGGCGGTGCACGATAAAAAAGGCTGCCAGTTTCGAGACATCGAGGTTTTGCCATGGCTGCTTCACCTGCAGTTCCTGGTGTTAGCCTTGGACCTTCTGTGCCCCCTCACCTTCAGACGCTGTGCTGCAAGGGGGCTTCTTGAGACCGGCAATCGGTAAATCCGGATGTGCCCGGCGAGACCCGGATTGTGGAGGGAAAGGGCCTGGTGCTGTAGAATGTTAGCTCTGCGCATTCCTGCGCTTCAGATCTTGTCAGCATTGCAAGGAAGTGGCACCACCATTCCGGGTGATGTCGTGGTCGCGGCCGTCTATGGGTTAATGACTGGGCTGTTCCTGTCGCTGTCGGCGCGCTTCATCCTGCGCCTGCAGCTGAACATGCCACCAAATCCCCACTTCAGGGTCTGACATGAGGGCCTGTCAGGGTGAATTTTCGAGTGCAGATAAGATTGACGTGTGCCAAGGCCGGTTCCTCACTGGGCCACCAAGATGCTATGCCTGATTACCTTCGTGATGGCGTTCGGTCTAGCGCCCCTCGGCATTGGTGTGACACAGTGACGGCCGTGAATCGTCTTATGCACAATGACAGCAACTGAATAGCCTTGAAACGTCTGGTAGCATTCCGTGGTTCCGACACCTTTTGCTGAGGCTGTGGATCTTCCCGTACAGCTACGACCGCCCCAAGCGCATTGTCTACCAGCGCTTTCGCCATCATAATTTTGCACTCAGCCTCTAAAGCCCCGAAGCCACCAACGATCCACTGTCCTCTTATCTTTGTAGGGCTGTCCCCATTTTTTATGTGCTTGCTCCGTTTTTTTTCGGCGCAAGCTTGCTTCCAAGAATATGGGGCCCCCCCCAACGGACATTCCTTCACCCATCATGTGTCGAGCATTGTGCCCTCATGCAAACTTGCTTTAAGGAATGTCGCGCCCCCAGCTGACATTCCATCGAAACCCATGTGAACTCTTTCCAAGCCCGTACTAGCATGATGTTTGCAAGTGGCACCTCCTCTTGCTTGTTACGGCCGCCCAAGCTTGCTTGAAAGCGCATCGTTTCCTTTAGTTGTGCGAGCATTGTGTTTGCACAGGGGAGGGGGGAGGCTGCAAAGAAAGAAAGACAAACAGACAGAAACGACGGATATACGCAAGTTGTGTGCAAATCGTGGGGTCCTCCCCCCCAACCTCCCTTCCCCCGCAAGCGCCACCCTCCCCCGTCCGCCCCGCAATCCCTTCCCTTTTCGAAGTTTTTTGGCCTTAATCAGAACACTCCGATACAACAACTGAATGTGTCAAAGTCCGAGAACATACAACACACCGACTCAATCAGTGGGAATCCACATGCAAAACAAGCAAAAACATCTTGACCAATGCCCTCCACTGCTTAAGGCTGCGCAGCTTGCTTCGAAGAACATGGTGTCATGGTGAGGCGTTCGAAAGGACATGCATGCGAATCCCTTTGTCATTCGAGCATAGTGTTGGCAATGGGTGCGCCTCTTCCAAACCCATCATGCGAGCATTGTCCTTGCGAGAAAGAGAAAAGCAGGACAGGACGAAGATGCACGGGGGGGGGGGGGGGGGGGGGGGGGGGGGTTGGGGGGGGGCAGCGGGCGATTTTGAAGTGCGCACCTTTCCGCTCAACAAAAATGTCCCAATACTGTAGCATAAACTGAAGGCGTCAAAGCCACAGCACGAAAAATTGCAAACCCACGAAGAGTGCAAGGCACATACAAACACAGCAGAATAACAAGCATCAGCATTGACGATACGGATCCAAACCAACTTTTCAATTTCAGAGTTCTAGGGTTTCGGGTTTAGGGTGTAGGTCATCAAGATGCGGATCCCCAATGAGTCATCCATGCGAGGGGGTGAGATATAGTGGTTTCTGATTGCGACCATGACCATGTAGTGGAAACAATGGGTTCTCCTACGAGAGAAAAAAGCACAAGCAAAGCAAAGCAGGGAGCAAAGCAAAGCTCCACCCATTGTCTGTTGTTCCGGGCCAAGCAACATTCTGCCAAACACGGTCTATGAACATCTGAGGCACACTTCACGGTCCAAGGCAACCTGGACCGTGGAGGCCACGACTCGAAACCGAGCATGCTACTGTGTCATTCATCCTAAGGGCTGGGGTCAATAGAAGCAGAGCTTTGTTCAGTCAAGTTGCTCTGCTCTGACTTCTACAGTTCTACTGGGAAACAGTTCATGCCGCTCGTGGAGCTTCTTGATAATCCTCATGGATGAGGAAACGCAAGGACGTACACAAACACGTCTCATGGGTGTGCGCGGCCGTGAGTTGCAAAGCAAAGCCTGATGATTGCTCGCCCACATCGTGCGAGTCAGTGAGGTGATCAAGGTGAGTCATTCGTCCCATCTGTGCTTGTATGGGAACTCGTACGGTGTCTGCCTCATCTGCGTTGACTTTCCTGGGGCGCTCCGAGCGGCGCAGTTCCTCTGTTGGTCATCGGATGGCCATCGATGCCCTGTGCACGCACTGCCCTGCCATGTTAACGAGCTCCCTCCACAATTTCTTTCTCTCATGTCTCCTCGCCCTGCGCGTGGTGGGAGCAGTGTTTCCCTAGTGATGCCAAGTCCTTTGCTTGGTCAGTGTCTTGATCTGCGCTGCCCGTCATACCTGTTTTCAGGGCCACGAGTGAACTGGACGTGACTACCCTACTATTTTAGGAGTCCCGTCTTTTCGTAAGCTCCCACACAGCTTTTCATTGGCACCACCGAGGCGCATGGGATGGCCACGGCGCACTGGGAGCCGATGGAAAGTGGGATCTGGACCGCTTCCCGTCACTTCGAATCCTCCTGCTTGCAGTTGTAGCCATATGCCTTCTATGGCTGTCGCCTTAAGCCTTGAACTTGTAGACGGAGAAACTTTTGAGGTCGCTTGCATGTTGTCCATCTCAGACACTTGTTGGCTCGGGTGGCTGCCCTAAACTCTGCCCTGTGCCCAGGTTGCCCAAGACTGGAACTGCGTGGACACCGTTCAACAGTTTGCTCCGTATGGCTTGCCGAATGGCTCGCGTCCTCACGACAGCCGCGTTGGGATCCCTGGCTATTTCGGCTAGCGGTTTCGGTTAAAGCGTCTAAAGCGTTTTTCGGCAGTGAAGGGTTCAGGTCCAGGGCCCACAAGATCTGAGGCTTTATGGCCAAGTGCCCATGCCCTTCCCAATGAAGTGGATGCTGTGGGGTGGAGCCTGGGCGAAGAGATCCGCTCCGGAGATTCCTGTTCCCATTGGCGTGCCTAGTCAAAGGTTTTAAGTCTGCCAAGTGAGGGGTACGAAGGAGCCGAACTAAGGTTATCTGTGTAGACGCTCCATGTTGCCCATAAGACAGCTGTGCTACAACAGAGCGGTTACAGAGCTCGGGCTTATGTGGGCTTGCCGCTACTTGCGTCTGTGTGAGTTGCAGCTTCGTGCTTATTCAGGTGCAGCTTTCGTCCCTTCCGTGGTCGGGTGCAGGACCCGCTTATAGTTCACGTATGTTCACGTAAGCACAGAGGCTGCGCATCTTGAAGGCCCCTGAAGACCCTTGCGAGGAGGTGAGGACCTGCGAAACGTGCACATCACCGTGCGAGGTCCACCTAACATGATGCTGGTGCTCTCACCCTTGCTTCTGGGCCAGAACCTGTGTCATAGGGTGATTTTGTAGGCTCGTGGCAACTTCAACGGATGTCGGCAGTGTGTTCGTTCAAGCTGCACTTTTGCATTCCCACACCGGAATTGCGTAGAGTTCTTCTTGTAGCTTCATGCTAGTGTATGCCTTTGTTCAAGCTACATGAGCCTGAGGTCGTCCATCAAAGGATGGTCGTTCGGACGGTATGCATCCATTGCAGATGCGGCGGACTCCAAGCACGTCGCAGCTAGATTCTGATTGCCGTTCTGAATACCATGCTGAGAGCACTGCGTTTCATTTGCACATGCTCCAGGTGAACCTAGGAACCAGGAAGTGTCATTGTCCGCATTCGATCACGTGGGGTCCGTTGCAAGAGAACGCCCAGCAATGCTGTCGCGGCCTCAGGTCGATGTGGATCAGCTGTCCACGAGGATACCGCACAAGCGCATGGACTGTGACTGCCTATTCCTGCTTCTTGCCAGCAGAACCTATTTCTCGAACCCCGGAGCGCTTGAAGCAAGGAAACCGGCAGGTAAACAAGCTGCAACAGCGGCTCCCATGTAATTAAATTGGTTTTTTGTTGTCGTGGAACAGTTCATTGCGCAAACGCCTGCCATTGCTTAGTGGCAGAGCATACTCCAGTGAGAAGCAAGTGCGAAGCAAGTGAGAAGCGCGGGGTTTTGCATGTTTGGTTGCATGCTTACACGTCTCTTCAAGCCCACCCCAAGACCTTTCCTCAAAATTCTGAAAGCAATGGCCCTTTGGCCTTTGAGGCTCTTTGCCGAAGGGGGCGTGAGCCCTAGCCAGGGCCAGACCGAAGCTTTCAACTTCACGTGGCGCGGCGGCGAGCGAGAGAAGTGTTGATGGACCTTGGGTGCCCCAAAGACAGGGATTTCGGGGATTTCGGGGATTTCTTTTTCGAGCCTTCATGGGCCTTTCCAAACGATGCCCAGGTGCCGGTGATGTGTGTGTGAGAGAGAGATGCTGGAGGGTAAGGGTCCGGCCGCCGCTGGCAGCGTAGCTTCTGAACCTTAAGCCTTTCGCATCTTTGAGCTTTGGGGGGGGGGGGGGGGGGTTGGGGCGTTTTGCAGCATTTGCAGCGCAAGGGTGTTGGCACCTCCGGGCGAGCTAGACATGGACATTTGGGGCCTACACTTGGAGAAGTCCAGCCCAGAGCTGCAGCACGAGAAGGACCGGTTTGCGCGCTCTGAGATGATGCTCTGCTGATGCCACATTGACATGTACGTGTGGGCGTGCAGGTTTGGACCTTGTGAGTGAGTGCACTTCCGGGTTCAACTCCTTATTCACCGACCCATTGGATCTTGCTACATGGTGCTGCGAAAGTCTCAACGGTGGAACGATGGCTGGGCTTAAGCCTCATCGTCGTGTCAACAAGAAAGACCCAGGTGGATGAAATGCAGCCTTGCCATGATGTAAACAACCCTGATGTGACGGTCGATCGTTGAGGGGAAGGTGTGCTCATTCCTCCTATGTTGTGGCAAGTGCCAGGCTGCTACACACGTTGGGAGTATGTGCTCCACCGGTTGCTTTCCTGGATGTGTGGTGATGCTGCTCTTGATGTAGCAGTGGCAGTCTTTGTGAGTGTCAGGATCTCTTCGAGTGGGACCGAGAATGTGAGAAGCGGTGGGTTGTAGCAGTGTAGCTGGCAATGCAGGAATGCTGAACAGGCCCAAGGTGCCACCGTACGGGTCCCACTGCTGTGAGAGGAGCGGCTGCCGAGCTGGGCGAACTTCTACGGCTGGACGGCGGAGTTGCAGGCGCTGCCGTCCTCAACAGCTTACGTTGTGACAAACCGCATACCACGCCTGTCCCCTCTAGTGTGCATAAAGCGTAAGCAGCCCGCAGCAGCCCTGAGCATCTTCATCTGGCATGGTCCCCCCGGCTGCATGCCATGCCCTTGCCCGAATCAAGATCTGCAGTCGGCCTGACAGGTTCACCGGCAGCTTGGCAAAGATGCTCTTGCGTTGCGAGTTGTTCTCAAGTAGAGCATGGCAAAGACGGCAAAGTTCACACGCCAGGAAATCAGCGAGCAGTGTTGTAGCAGCTTGCGGTCGGTCAGAAAGCGCACAGGCTACGTACTGTAGTATGCACCGTGCCGAGGATGATGCTGTGAGCATTGCTGGACCCAGAAGCAGCAAGAAAAAAAAAATTGCTGGCGTGCAGGGTCCAGAAGGTGTCAGGATATGGATTGCCAAGCTCCTGCACCTTGGTCCTTGCTTGGGCGCTGCTTCAGGTGCTTGCCGAGAGTTCACAGGGATGACGCCGAAGCCCCATTGAGGGAGGAAGCGACAGGAAGCAGTGCGACTGCTGAGCTGCTGCGACGTAGAGCTGATACTGTGGACAGGTCTGTACAGTACTATGGCAGAATCTTTTGCAACTGTGCACAGCGAAACTGGCTCCACTTCACCCTTCCAAGGTATGTGGTGGTCACCAGCGAGCCTGGAGTGCTGTATGACATGATGGACAATCCACTGCGGAAGCCTCGGTGTTTCATTCAAGATGCTAAGATGGGTGAGTGATGTGCTGTGGTGATGTGGGCCCCAGTACCCTAGGCCGGTGCTGGACTCCAACACGACTGGGCCAGGTGGTTGGAGGTCGGCTGAGTCCTGCCGTGGCCCGTTTCCTTGGCAAGCTTTTCCTTGGCAGGTTTGAGGTGGACGAGAATGTTACCAGAGCTCCCGAGGCACTGATTGGGGGCCAAGGTGTGACAATTGTGACAACTGTTGCTCAACTCCATTTTCTCCCTGTTTTTAACTTGTGCTTCTTCCACGAGACCCTCGCAAGAAGTCGGGCCTTCGATGCTGACTCTCTGGCAGCTCCGCTAGCCTTGTTTGCGCTGTTCCAGATCCTGCGGTCGACCCACGCGATCACGATCAATGCAACAGCTGCAGCCTCTCGGCAGGTTTAGGGTTGACAGATGTTTGTGGGATTTGCTGCGGCAGATTGAGAGCTCGAGCTGTTCTGATGCAGCGGAAGAATGGGTCTGTAGGTAGGAGCCCGGGAAGCTTTGCGGAATGTGCCTGTTGGCAAATCGAGGAAACTCTGGTCACTGGCTATTTGTACTTCACCCAGAGGGTCTATCAGAATGGCTCTGCCGGGCTCTCAGAAGGGTTCATTTAAGTATGCTCCATCCGCCTTCGCTCCACGTGGGCCAGTAGAATCTAGTTCTAAGGGCTTGACTACTACTTCTGCTGTGCGTTGGATTGGTTGTGAACCCTGTCTTGTGGCATCCGCACTGCCTTGGCCCTGACTGCTTGTGCTGAGCTCCCTGGCACAATGCTGATGCGGCAAGATCTCCAAGTCTGGGCTCCTTGGCTGCACAAAGGAGGCACAGGAGGCGCAAGGTTTCACGGCACTTCTTGCTGACGCCAGGACTGTGGAACCGGCTTCGACTGCTCCAATATGCAGGCTGAGTGAGTGCCTGGTTGCCTTGCAGAACGTTAGATATGCCACGCTTTAACCATGCTATGGCTATGGCTATGGGTTCTTTTGCCTCTACATGCTGCTGCAAGTTCGATTACGCAGACAAAAGCTTAATGTGACAGCGCGTCCGTGCAGCCCCTGAACAACAGCGACACGGCCGTGACCGTCTCGACGGAGCCCTGGCTCTGGCCTTAAATCGAAGACCGCTTTCTGCACAGGTGCGTGTCCGGTTCCTCTCGTTAGGCTATTCGGCTGTCGTTCGGTGCGCATGCTGCATGCTCAGAAAATGCCGAGGGATGCCACCAGCTTCGACTTGCTTCCGGGCCTTGTGGAGTTCCGCATTCAGCTGCCTGACGAACTGCCCCGTAGGCTGAAGGCAGAGGGAGGGGGGTCGCGCAGTCGGTCAATGTCGGTCAGTAGACGGGGTTTGCGGCTGCGGAGGTCATCGTGCCCCCGTATAGCTTCATGGGTGCAGACACCCGACCAGGCTCCGGCTGGCCGAGCGTTCAGCCGTTTGGGCATTTCGGTGCTTAAGGTCCATTGCAGGTCTGTGAAAAAAAATGCGTGTACCGTAGGCCCTGTAGGACTGTAGGCCCTGGAATTAGGCCCTGTCGGCCTTGTCGGCTCAGTTCTCCCCAGGCAGCTTAGCAGGGCCGCTGGTCCAATATGAGCTGCAAGTCGACACTGGCGAGGACCCAAATGTCGAGCTCGCAAGGTGGGATCGGGTTTGACGCACAACTCGGTAACCCCATATCCTCACTTGATTCAAGAGATCGCCTCCTTTCTGGATCGAGGCCCAGGGTGCTCCCGGGCGGCGCCTTCCCGCAACCAGGGGCGCAGCCTCCCGGCCCAAGCAACAAACATCAATGAGCCCCATGTGGTATCCAGCTCGTCCCAGTGCACTTTTGCCGCGGTGGCTGTTTGGCGCGCAGTGTCGAGAGATGGGGAGAGTCATGCCCAGGTATGTGGCCGCCGCCACGACGATCACATTCTACTTCGACGAGGAGGCATTGCACGAAGAACAGGATGAGATGCGGCCACTGTGGTGAGCCATCGTGAGGCAATAGAGGTCCTAGCGGTCACCTTAACCTTAGCAACCCGCGAGCTTCGACTCTCCGACTTCCTCCGTCTTGGGTAAATCGCGGATTCCAGACACTTCTTGCGTCGCTTCCTCTTACTGTACCTAGTGCCAACAAAGTGCCGCAGGTCGTTGCCGGCGTGGGCAGTCTCCTTTTCTGCGACGCATCAGAACCGGCGCGCTTTGAAGAGGTTCGATTTTGAAGGGAACGGCCGCCATCTGAATGCCGTAGATCTTCATGGTCTTCAGCTCATGGGTTGATGTTTGGTGAGCAGCTGTCACCCAGCAACGCAATGCACAACCTCTTTGCACGACACGAGACTCTGGACCCGAAGCCAACGCATCGATAGCCTAATCCCAGATCAACAACTGCGAGGACCCCGAGCTTTGTTCCCTGGCCACTTTTGGTGACGGGTCTGCCGCCTCCTTGGACGTCCATCACTTTGCCAAGGTGCAGCGCAGGTCGGGTGATCTCCCTCTCGCTCTCTCGCTCTCTCGCTCTCTCGCTCTCTCGCTGTCTCGCTCTCTCGCTCTCTTGCTCTCTCTGTCTCTCGCTCTCTCTCCCTCTCTGTCTGTCTCCCGCTCTCCCTCTCTCTCTCTCTCTTTCTGTCTCTGTTTTGGAGAAGGGAGGGAGAGCAAGATGAGGGGACGGTGGCAGGGTGGTCACCTGGCGGCTTCCGCAGGCCCATCGCAGCAGACAGCATTTTTCTGGCTAACAGCTGCGCCTCAAGTTTTCTGATGCCTACTCCGTGTGCAAGACTGTATTGTCATTGCTGGCAATGGTAGGCACGTTGCACTTCACAATCCTTCGGCCATCCCTTGCAGGTCCTTGCCTACGGCCAGAGAATTCGCCTTGTCATGCCAGCTGCTGGCCCATGATTATCTCTAAGCCTTATCAGGTCTGTGGCGTTCACAGGACACAAAAGATTCTATCTAGAGAGTGCCAAACACATCTCTGCAATTGCTGCAGTCCAAGGAGGGTCTCTTCGTTGCGGCCCGTCGGCCACTCGCTGCAGCAGCCTATCATGGCGGCAGCGCCTCGCACGAAACAGGAGTATAACGGTAACCAAAAATGCGCAGATAGATGCTGTTGCCACGAGGACCGTAGTGCAGGTTTCAAGAAGTGTCCTTGTCCCGCTGGTGCAGGCTTTTCCATCCGTGAGGGTGACATCATCCCTCCAGCGGCACAGCCGCAAATATTGGGTCTTTCAGTCGCTCAAGGTCAAGGTTCTCGAAACACGTATCGCATGTGAATATTGTGAATGGTTTGCAATCTCTCCTGGTCTCACCTCAGACTGATACATTCAGGTAGTGCTTGAAGTTTAGTGATGGCCCTTCGCTCCTACTGCTCGCTCTTCCCTCTATCTAAACAGATGGTACCTTTCCCCCCCCCACCCGCGCAAGAATCTATGTTTGGGTTGTTTTCTGGGAGGGGTTTATCCTGTGTCTGATGGGACGTGGGTCAACAATCTTCTATATTTACAATTTTGAAAAAGCAACTGATGGCTTCAAACCAAGATGCGCAGCATTCTTGTTTTTTGGTCGTGTTCCTGGGGGCCTAGGTCAAAGCGATTTGAACTGATAGCCTCAGCAGTCAATGTTTGAGAATCAAGAGACTGGGGCATGTAGTCTTCATTGAAAAGTGCAAAAGCTATCCCAGCCCTGAGGAGCCAAGAGCCAAAATGCCACTCTTGGGTGTTGAGTTATCTTGCTCCGAGGCTTTGAGTGAGGAGCATCAGCCGCCCCAGCCCACGCACATCATCAGCATCAGCCGCGCTGCCCTTCGCCCTTCGCCCCGGGCTGGCGCACATCATGAGCATCAGCCGCGCTGCCCTTTGCCCTTCAGCCCCGAGCCGGTGTGCATCATGAGCATCAGCCGCGCTGCCCTTCGCCCTTCGCCCCAGGCCGGCGCACATCATGAGCATCAGCCGCGCTGCCCTTTGCCCTTCAACCCCCAGCCCGCGCCCATCATGAGCATCAGCCGTGCTGCCCTGTGCCCTTCAGCCGCGAACCATCACGCCAGACGCGCTGCCCGTTCCCTTCTGACCCGAGCCCGCGCGCATCATGAGCATCAGCGCAGCCCTTTGCCCTTCAGCCTCAAGCCGGCGCGCATCGTGAGCATCAGCCGCGCTGCCCTTGGCGCTTCAGCCCCGAGCCGGCGCGCATTATGAGCATCAGCCGCGCTGCCCTTCTCCCTTCAGCCCCGAGCCGATGCGCATCATGAGCATCAGCCGTGTTGCCCTTTGCCCTTCAGCCCCGAGCCGGCGCGCATCATGAGCATCAGCCGCGCTGCAGTTTTTGCCCTTCAGCCCCGAGCCGGCGAGCATCATGAGCATCAGCCGCGCTGCCCTTCACCCTTCAGCCCCGAGCCGATGCGCATCATGAGCATCAGCGGTGCTGCCCTTTGCCCTTCAGCCCCGAGCCGGCGCGCATCATGAGCATCAGCCGCGCTGCAGTTTTTGCCTTTCAGCCCCGAGCCGGCGAGCATCATGAGCATCAGCCGCGCTGCCCTTCGCCCTTCAGCCCCGAACCAGCGCGCCGCGCTGCCCTTTGCGCTTCGGCCCGAGCCAGCGCGCATCATGAGCATCAGCCGCGCTGCCCTTGGCCCTTCAGCCCCGAGCCGGCGCGGATCATGAGCATCAGCCGCGCTGCCCTTCGCCCTTCAGCCCCGAAGCAGCGCGCCAGCCGCGCTGCCCTTTGCCCTTCGGCCCGAGCCAGCGCGCATCATGAGCATCAGCCGCGCTGCCCTTTGCGAGCCGGAGCGCATCATGAGCATCAGCCGCGCTGCCCTTCGCCCTTCAGCGCTACCCTTTGCCCTTCAGCCCCGAGCGGGCGCGCATCATGAGCATCAGCCGCGCTGCCCTTCTCCCTTCAGCCCCGAGCCGATGCGCATCATGAGCATCAGCGGTGCTGCCCTTTGCCCTTCAGCCCCGAGCCGGCGCACATCATGAGCATCAGTCGCGCTGCAATTTTTGCCCTTCAGCCCCGAGCCGGCGAGCGTCATGAGCATCAGCCGCGCTGCCCTTCGCCCTTCAGCCCCGAACCAGTGCGCCAGCCGCGCTGCCCTTCACCCTTCGGCCCGAGCCAGCGCGCATCATGAGCATCAGCCGCGCAGCCCTTTGCCCTTCAGCCCCGAGCCGGCGCGCATCATGAGCATCAGCCGCGCTGCCCTTCGCCCTTCAGCCCCGAACCAGCGCGCCAGCCGCGCTGCCCTCTGCCGTTCGGCCCGAATCAGCCGCGCTGCCCTTTGTCCTTCAGCCCCGAGCCGGCGCGCATCATGAGCATCAGCCGCGCTGCCCTTCGCCCTTCAGCCCCGAACCAGCGCGCCAGCCGCGCTGCCCTCTGCCCTTCGGCCCGAGCCAGCGCGCATCATGAGCATCAGCCGCGCTGCCCTTTGCGAGCCGGCGCGCATCATTAGCATCAACCGCGCTGCCCTTCGCCCTTCAGCCCCGAGCCGGCGCGCATCATGAGCATCAGCCGCGCTGCCCTTCGCCCTTCAGCCCCGAACCAGCGTCTGAGCCAGCGCACATCATGAGTATCAGCCGCGCTACCCTTTGCCCTTCAGCCCCGAGCGGGCGCGCATCATGAGCATCAGCCGCGCTGCCCTTTGCCCTTCATCCCCAACCCGGCGCGCATCATGAGCATCAGCCGCACTGCCCTTCGCCCTTCAGCCCCGAGGCGGCGCGCATCATGAGCATCAGCCGCGCTGCCCTTCGCCCTTCAGCCCCGAACCAGCGCGCCAGCCGCGCTGCCCTTTGCCCTTCGGCCCGAGCCAGCGCGCATCATGAGCATCAGCCGCGCTGCCCTTTGCCCTTCAGCCCCGAGGCGGCGCGCATCATGAGCATCAGCCGCGCTGCCCTTCGCCCTTCAGCCCCGAACCAGCGCGCCAGCCGCGCTGCCCTCTGCCCTTCGGCCCGAGCCAGCGCGCATCATGAGCATCAGCCGCGCTGCCCTTTGCGAGCCGGCGCGCATCATTAGCATCAACCGCGCTGCCCTTCGCCCTTCAGCCCCGAGCCGGCGCGCATCATGAGCATCAGCCGCGCTGCCCTTCGCCCTTCAGCCCCGAACCAGCGCCCGAGCCAGCGCACATCATGAGTATCAGCCGCGCTACCCTTTGCCCTTCAGCCCCGAGCGGGCGCGCATCATGAGCATCAGCCGCGCTGCCCTTTGCCCTTCATCCCCGAGCCGGCGCGCATCATGAGCATCAGCCGCGCTGCCCTTCGCCCTTCAGCCCCGAACCAGCGTGCCAGCCGCGCTGCCCTTTGCCCTTCGGCCCGAGCCAGCGCGCATCATGAGCATCAGCCGCGCTGCCCTGTGCCCTTCAGCCCGAGGCGGCGCGCATCATGAGCATCAGCCGCGCTGCCCTTCGCCCTTCAGCCCCGAACCAGCGCGCCAGCCGCGCTGGCCTTTGCCCTTTGGCCCGAGCCAGCGCGCATCATGAGCATCAGCCGCGCTGCCCTTTGCCCTTCAGCCCCCGAGGCGGCGCGCATCATGAGCATCAGCCGCGCTGCCCTTTGCCCTTCAGCCCCGAACCAGCGTTCACCGTGAGCGTCAGCTGCGAGCTTGTTCAGGAGCTCGGAACTGGCTTGTGAAGTTTAACGCTGGGGGAAAGGGGGAGTGGGGGGTTAGGGGGAGTGGGGGGTGGGGGGGGGAGGGGGTGGACACTTTAAACGGAGCCCAGCTGTTTGTGCCTGAGAGTCAACCTTTAAGACAAGTCTCCTCGTATCCGAAGTAAGCCAGTTGTTAACGGACAAACGCACATAAATCCTGTAGGTTTGCACTGCAACGGCGCGTTTTTGGCAAGCCACCGGGAATGAAGGGCAGCTCCTGGGACCCTCAGCAAGCCCGAAAATGTGTGCAAGTCTGGACCATTGCGATGGAATTGAAAGGGAATCGCGATGTAAAGTCAGGGAATGCTCGCATTCATCTACGTGACGCTCTCATGTGCATGCTACTTTTTCAGAGTAAGGG